ACCCAAAATCAGCAGGACACACATTCTTCTTAAGGGCACATGGAATATTTTCAAGAATAGATCATATCATATACTAGGCCACAAAAAGAGCCTCAGGAAATTTAAAAATATTGAAATCATACCAACCAGTTTCTGAGACCATAAATGTATGAAACTAGAAATAAATTACCCAGAGAAAACGAAAAAGCCCACTAAGACATGGAGGCTTAACAACATGTTCATAAATAATCAATGGATCAAAGACCAAATAAAAACAGAGATCAAGCAATATATGGAGACAAATGACAACAATAACTCAACACTGCAAACTCTATGGGACACAGTGAAGGCTGTGCTAAGAAGAAAGTATATTGCAATACAGGCCTACCTCAGAAAAGAAGAACAGTCCCATATGAACAGTCTAAACACACAAATAATGAAACTAGAAAAAGAAGAACAAATGAGGCCCAAAGTCAGTAGAAAGGGGGACATAATAAAGATTAGAGCAGAAATAAATAAAATTGAGAAGAATAAAATAGAAAGAACCAGTGAAAGCAAGAACTGCTTCATCAAGAAAATAAACAAAATTGATAAACCCCTAGCCAGACTTATCAAGAAAAAAAGAGAGCCTACACACATAAACAGAATCAAAAATGAGAAAGGAAAAATCACTACAGACACTATAGAAATACAAAGAATTATTACAGAATACTATGAAAAATTCCATGCTAACAAAATGGATAACCTAGAACAAATTAACAAAGTTCTAGAAAAATACAACCTTCCAAGGCTGACCCAGGAAGAAGCAGAAAATCTGAACAGACCAATTACCAGCAATGAAATTGAATTGGTAATCAAAAAACTACTTAACAACAAAACTGCTGCACCAGATAGCTTCACCACTGAATTTCATCAAACATTTAGTGAAGACCTAATACTAATCCTCCTTAAAGTTTTCCAAGAAGTAGAAGAGGGAATACTCCCAAACTTATTCAATGAGGCCAGCATCTTCTAATACCAAAACCAGGCAAAGATACCACAAAAAAAGAAAATTACTGACCAATATTCCTGATGAACATAGATGCAAAAATACTGAACAAAATATTAGCAAATTGAATTTAAAAATACATCAAAAGATCATCCATCACAATCAAGTAGAATTTACTACAAGGATGCAAGGATGGTATAATATTCAAAAATCCATCAACATCATCCACCACATCAATGAAAACAACAATAATAACATGATCATCTCCATAGATGCTGAAAAAGCATTTGACAAAATTCAACATCCATTCATGATAAAAACTCTTAACAAAATGGGTATAGAAGGCAAGTATCTCAACATAATAAAGGCCATATATGACAAACCCACAACCAACATTATACTTAACAGGAAGAAGCTGAAAGCCTTTCCTTTAAGATTGGGAAAAAGACAAGGATGCCCACTCTCCCCACTTTTATTCAACATAGTTCTGAAGGTCCTAGCCATGGCAATCAGGCAACACAAAGAAATAAAAGGCATCCAGATTGGTAAGGAAGAAGTTAAACTGTCACGAGAACTAATAACTGAATTCAGCAAAGTTACAAGATATAAAATTAATACACAGAAATCTGTTGCATTCCTATATACTAATGATGAACTAGCAAAAAGAGAAATCAAGAAAGCAATTCCATTCACAATCACATCAAAAAGAATAAAATACCTAGGAATAAATCTAACCAAGGAAGTGAAAGTCCTATACCCTGAAAACTATAAGACACTCATGAGAGAAATTAAAGAAGATACCATTAAATGGAAACACATCCAGTGCCCATGGATAGGAAGAATTAATATTGTCAGAATGACCATCCTGCCCAAAGCAATCTGCAGATTCAATGCAATCCCTATCAAAATACCAATAACATTCTTCAACAAACTACAGCAAATCATTTTAAAATTCATATGGAACCACAAAAGACCCCGAATAGCCAAAGCAACCCTGAGAAGGAAGAACAAAGCAGGGGAGATTATGCTCCCCAACTTCAAGCCCTACTACAAAGCCACAGTAATCAAGACAATTTGATACTGGCACAAGAACAGACCCATAGACCAATGGAACAGACTAGAGAGCCCAGATATAAACCCAAGCATATATAGTCAATTAATATACTATAAAGAAGCCATGGACATACAATGGGGAAATGACAGCCTCTTCAAGAACTGGTGTTGGCAAAACTGGACAGCTACATGTAAGAGAATATAACTGGATTATAGTCTAACCCCATACACAAAAGTAAACTCAAAATGGATCAAAGACCTGAATGTAAATTCTGAAACCATAAAACTCTTAGAAGAAAACATAGGCAAAAATCTCTTGAATATAAACATGAGCAACTTTTTCCTGAACGCATCTCCTCAGGGAAACAAAAGCAAAAATTAACAAATGGGACTACATCAAACTAAAAAGCTTCTGTAAAGCAAAGGACACCATCAGGGAGAATATATCTACAGACATTCTACAGACATACCTGACAAGGGGTTAATATCCATAAAATATAAAGAACTCATATGCCTCAACAAGCAAAATGCAAATAACCCGATTAAAAAATGGTCAGAGGATATGAACAATTCTCCAAAGAAGAAATTCAGATGGCCAACAAGCACATGAAAAGGTGCTCCACATCATTCATCATCAGGGAAATGCAAATTAAAACCACAATGAGGTATCACCTCATCCCAGTAAGGATGGCCAGCATCGAAAAGACTAAGAACAATAAATGCTGGGGAGGATGTGGAAAAACGGGAACCCTCTTACACTTGATAATACGGGTAAATGTAGTAACCACATTGTTTTTTCATGTGAAACCTTCATAAGAATGTATACCAATAATACCTTAAATAAATAAATAAATAAATAAATAAATAAATAATATTTGGCTCTAACACTCAAGTGTCAGTCTAAAAGATAGCTGTTTAAGTATGCATATGAATGGGGTTTTATCTTAATCTGGTGAAAAATTAATATGATATTTTTAAAAGTGAATTTAGATTAAGTTCTTACCCTCTAAATCACTAATAAATCAAGCAAGACTTCTTTTTCTTGCCTCTTATAAATCTGCCTGAAGTAATTTGGAAAGAAAAGGAAGATGCTTTAGCCCCAGGAATGAAATAAATAAACAAACACAGCTCTTAGGATTTCCATCTGGATGCTGTATATGCTGCCTGCTAGAAGAAAAAGATGTGGGAACTGTTTCATTAGGCCTGAGAGTTCCATGGGAATTCATATGCTACAATCAGGGAAGGATAATGAATCCACAGCCTATTCGGCAGATGGAATTACAGTTGTATGTTTGGACCTTTCAGACCTCCCTGAGTCGGAGCTCTTCCTTATAGAGACTTTTTCCTTCCATGGCTCTTACTACAAGTTGCAAGACACTCAGAATCTGACCCCTACACAAGTAAGACACTGACCTCATAAAATTACACAGAAGATATTCAGATTCTTACAATTCAAGTCTAGCATTTGCACCTAAATTGAATTGGCTATCTCATAAGCAAGTTACATAATCTTACTTTCACATTAAGCATATGGGCTTCCACTAAGTTTAATTTTGGAGACAGAAAAGAAGAAAATTTCCTGGGCATTTACTTGAAAAGTCTATTAACCTATCAGTACAGGTCACTAGATCTTATTTATTTAACTAATCATAATTATACATGGATGAACAATACTAAGTTTCCCATCATTTGTGATCAATATAAATGCATTTCTGAGGAATACTAGGGAAAATGGTAGTTTAAAGACTTGATTTTAATTCACGTAAGGTGAGAATTAAAATTTTCAAATACACTAACAAATGAAATTCTACATTTTTAAATAATGTGCAATTTTCTTTTTAAAATACAAACAAATGCATTAATCATGATATGGGTAAAACTGCAGTATTTCCAGAATCTTTCACCTACTCATATCAATAGGTGTTTCAAAGGGGTGAAGAGAAGTAGTCCATCTCCATATCAATAGGTAATTACAAAGGAAAGCAAGGATATATCTGGATTAGAGAGGTTGGGTGGGGTCCATTTTTTGCATCTCGGTTGGGTCATGAGAGATATGGGTGAGCAGAAGTGGATAACTGCTTATAAGAAATAAATGGGTTTCTCCCACTCTATTTCTCCTTTTGACTGATTTCGGTTTCAAAGGTATTTGCCCTGGGCTGGGAAAATATTATCACCCTGGAGTTATGTCTGGTGGTACTCGACAGGACCTCTGAAACTGAAATCTGTCTTCATGGGTGCAACCCTTGGGTAGGCTGTCTCTAGAGATGATGGGGAGATACCTGGAGCACCCCATGGGATGGTGGGGAGGTCCCAGTGGCTGCAATGGTAGAGGGTGCAGCTTCACCTGGTAGCCCCCTATCTGTGGGGTTTCTAATTGGGGAGACCCTAGTGGGGAATTTGTCTAGATTAAAGCACCTCCTTGAGGAGAGGGACCTTCCCTAGAATTGGGGAAGAGTGGAGACACCAGAAGCTGTGGAATTAGCACTCTGTGACATAGAAGACTGCTTAAAGGCCCTGAGTGGCCAGGTAATGCCCAGAATTGGGATGCCTTCTCCTCAAGACAGTGGAAAGGGTTATCGAGGAGAGAGAGAGAGATCTCATGGGAGAGAGACACACTTCAGCATCACTTGGAGGAGTGAGGTGATGACCTCTGGGATGCCCTTAAGAAAGTGAGACAGTTATTGAGAATACAGGTCACACTTCTTGAAGATTCCTTGGCAGCAGGGAGGGAGGAGGCAGCAGGAGAATCTGTGTTGGAGGAGGTCATGGGGGAGGGGGAGAAAAGAGCAGTGCCTTCAGTAACAGAGATGGTAGAGGAGATGTCAGGAAAGAATGAGGGGGTGTGACCAAGGACTGATCAGCAGCCAAGGCCACCACCTGAGGCACCAGCCTCTTCCATATTAAAGGCCCTTTGTGTTGTAATTAAAAAAATGAAAACACAGTAACTACAGGTTCCTCAGGGGGAGCAGCCATCCCTTACCCAGGTTGTGGAGCACTCCGTGTTCCTCCCCTATATTCAGAATGAGCTGGTGGACTTGAGCATCTTGTTTTGACAGAAGCCATCAGAACCTCTGCCTGTATGGCTTTTGCATCTCTGGGATATAGAGGTGGAAAACATTGTTATGTCGGGTTCTGAAATGAGTAGACTGCTCTCCCTGACCACTTACCCTTCCCTTCAGCAGTGTTTGCGAAGTGCCAATCACACCTCAGGGAATTGGGTGCTTCTGGATTGGCTGATAGCAACCATCAGGGCACTTTGGCCTGATCAGAGTGATTTACCATACTTACCCACTAGCTGGAAACATACGCAGAGCTCTAGCAGTTATGAGAGCTGGGCATGAAAAATATTACCTATAATATGGACCCCCAGGGCCCTGATGAGTTGTTCACTGAAGGAATGAGAAATCTGGTGCTGCATACAGCTCCCCCATCTCTCTCTGGGTCCCTACTGACTATTCTTGCCTCCCACATAGGGCAACCCATAAGTGAGGCTACTTGTACTTTAGCAGATCTGGGGGAAATTGAAACAATGAGTTGTGTGGGCTACGAATGAAAGGAGAGGTGCAAACAGCCCTGAAGGTCTCGAGGACCCAGATATGTGTTGATTTGATAAAGAATTTGATGGGCAGCCTAATAGGATCTTGTTAGAACTGTGGCACCAATTAAAGAAAGAGCAGCAGTTCCAGCCACTGAGGTCGAGGACATGCAGTCAGAGTCAAAGCCCCATGTCCGGTATGTGTGCCTGCAAGACATCCTGTGGAATAATACTCAGGCTCTGCCAGGGCTTTCACTCCCACAGGAGGACATTTGGGCATCAGTTTGACTGGGGGTGGGTCGAGGCCCCCACCTGGGGGAATGTGGTGGGGACTGGAGGCCACATATAGAATTAGCAATTCATTGGTCCCTGTGAATGTGCAATGTGTCCTGGTACAGGTGGACACAGGAGCTGGATATTTTATGATTTATAGCAACCCTGAGCATTTTCCCAAGACCCCAGTTGTGACAGATGGCTATGGGGGTAAGACAGTTAGAGTGAAGAAAGCCCAAACCTCACTGGAGATAGGGCGTTTGCCCCCAAAGGAGTATACTGTGTACATTTCTCCCATCCCAGAATGTATTTTGGGGGTAGATATTCTGCAGGGCCTGTGGTTACAGACCACTGCAGATGAGTTCAGACTGAGGGTGCATGTGGTAAAGGCAATTGTGAGGGGACATGCTCAGCACCTACCTGCAGCTCTGCCTGTACATAGGCAGGTGAAAAATACTAATCAGTGTACATTGACTTGGGGACACCAGGAAATTGGAAAAACTTTACAGAAGTTGGAGAAGGTAGGCATCATAAAGCCCACTCATAGTCCTTTTAATTCCCCAGTGTGGCCAGTGAAAAAGCCAGACAGCTCTTGTCATATGACTGTGGATTACAGGGAATTGAATGAAGTCACACCCCCTTTGCATGGGCTGTCCCCTCTATAGCAGCCCTTACACACACTCTCAGTCATGGACTAGAGAGATATCGTTATGTTGTGGACCTTGCTAATGCTTTCTTCTCTATTGACATAGCACAGGAAAGTCAGGAACAGTTTGCCTTCACATGGGAAGGTCAGCACTGGACATTTACTCTCCTCTCACAGGAATATTTTCCACAGTTCTACCATTTGTCATGGTCACCACTTGCGAGAAACTGCAAACAGTGCAGCTGTATACTACATTGATGATATCATGCTCACATCTGATTCTCCTGCAGATTTAGAAGGGGCAGTTTCCAGACTGCCACAACCTCTACACAAGAAATGATGGGCTGTGAACAGCACCAAGGCTCATGGACCTGGTTTGTCAGTAAAGTTCTTAGGGTTTGTCTGGTTGTGTAAAACTAGTTATCTCAGAAGCACTCATAGGCAAGATCCAGGCTTTCCCTACCCCTATGAGTGTGGCAGCATTACAAGAGTTTTTGGATCTTTTGGGCTACTGGAGTATGTTTATTCAACACTTGGTGCAAATTCTGAAGCCCTTATACCAGTTGGTACAAAAGGGCATCAGGTGGGGGTGGGATGAAATATGTCCAGCTACTTTTACTGCTGCTAAGCAATCAGTAAAGGCTGTACAGGCCTTAAGTATAATGAATTCATCATGGCCCTGTGAGCTAGATGTTCATGTAACCAAAGATGGTTATGGATGGGGCCTTTGGCAGCAGCTTGAATGGATGCACCAACCTATTGGATTCTGGTCACAACTGTGGAAAGGAGCAGAGGTCCAGTGCACCTTGAGAGAGAAACAACTAGCTGCCAAGTGCAATGCCTTGCTGGCTAAGGAGCCCATCACTAGAACAGCTCCAACCAAGGTAATAACAACCTATCCCATTGCGGGTGGGTGTTGGACCCAAAGGCCTCAGAGCAGCATGGAACAGATGCCTACACTGGCCAAATGGGATGCATACTTACAGCAGCATAGTGCCCTCTCCAATAGCCCCTTAAGTGGAGAACTCGAATGCTTATTGGGGCCAGTGACCTATACCAGTGGAAAGCAGGAAGAACTTGCTTTTGAGCCATTGGTGGCCAAGAGTCCTTATTAGGAGGGAAAAGCCCCTTTACCTGAAGATGCTTGGTGTATATATGGCTCCAGTCATGGGCAGCCCCCAAAGTGGAGGGCTGTGGCCTTCCATCCTAAGACTGAGACAATATGGATGGAGAATAGAGAGGGGAAGAGCAGCCAATGGGCTCATGGGCAGTATGGCTTGTGATCACCCAGGAGCCTTCCTCCATAGTTGTCTGCACTGACAGCTGGGCCATCTATCAAAGCTGGATCCTGTGGCTACTGACATGGTACCATGCCAACTGGATGGTTGGTCACTGGCCCCTTTGGGGACAAGAATTGTGGCAAGACCTATGGGCCTCTGGTCAGACTAAGACTGTTACCATATATCATGTAACTGGCCATTTGCCTCTGGCATCCCCCAGGAATGATGAAGCAGACACAATGGATCAAGTGTATGGGCTAGAAGGAAAGCTTGTATCTGATGCATCCCAATAGTTACATCAGCATTTGTTGCTCATGGGGCAAAAGACAATGTGGGCTGTAGCCTATGAGTTGGGCTTGCTGTTGACCTTTGAAGAAGTCAGCAGAGCCTGGAAGAAGTGCCTTGTGTGCTCTAAGAGGGACTTAGACCAATTCCTGCAGCAACATGGGACAACAGTAAAGGGCCTGATATCTTGTCAGGTGGCAGATAGACTATATTGGGCTTCTGACATATCAGAAGGATATTAGTATGCAATAAATTGTGTGGACACAACTACTGGACTATTGGTTGCTTTTTCTGCATGTCATGCAGATCAGCAAACCACAAAAAGTGGCCTGGAGCATCTCTTTGCAGACCATGGCCACCCACAGGTGATTGAGAGCAAACAAGGCACCCACATTACTGGATATGCTTTACAAGAATGGGTGCAGCAATTAGGAATAAAGTGGAAGTTTCTGTACCATATAACCCTACTGCAGCAGGCATGATAGAGAGGTATAATGGTTTGTTGAAATTCGGCCTGAAGTTATACATCAGTAGTCTGTGGGGCTGGTCCGTTTGCTTATGGACAGTGTTGGCATTTGAATGAGAAGCCTGGAAAAGGAGACTTGAGCCCTGTGGATATGTGAACACACATTGATGCCTCTCCTATACAGCTGTATGTGCAAACCAAAGAGGTATTATTGAAGCCAGGATACGGGCAGCAGAGCAACATCCTGCTGCCAGCCCCAAATGCATTAAACCCTGGAGACTCTGTTGAGTAGACGTGGCCCTGGACATTTAAACACATAGACCAGCGATAGCTGGCCCTTCTGGCACCTTGGGGAAAATGGCTGGAAGCTGGCCTGCTATGTGTTCCTGGAGTAACAGCAGAGTGGTTCCCAAAGATCATACCCAAAATGTCCAGGAGGTAAGAGCATCTTATGGGGAAGTTTTGTTTCATATTTATGGCCAGTGCATATACCTCCATAGCTCTATATTGGCCCATCTGTAACTCCCATAGGGAAGGGGGTGAAAGTCTGGTATATTAGACCAGGACGAGATCCCATTCCTGCCAGTGTCCTATCACAGGACCACTCTCTTGCATGCATCCTACCTTTTGGACAAGATTTGCCTATGCTGGTGTCATTAAAACATGTATCTATTGCCCTTAAGGTTGTTTCCTTCTACATTCCCTGTGGCCTGAACCCACCCCCTGGCTGCAACTGCCACATGATGATTGCTTTGAACTCCCTACCCATTCAGCTACTGACTACTTGTGGCATGGGTGAGCTATGGAATTAATCTGCATAAGACTTTGAACATAGCTGGATCCTCCAGCTTGAGGATTATCATGATTTTATTCCTGTTGTTATTGTATTTTATTAGTCTGGTTACAATTGTCCAGTTTTCTTGCACAGGGGCCATTGCAGAACATGGGGAAAGAGTAGATTGTGAGGCAAGGTTTCTGGAGGGGTGGACTGTGGGTAAAATTACAATATTTCCAGAATCTCTTGCCTGGCCTTGGTCCATCTCCATATCACTAGGTAACTACAAGGTTGAGCCAGAGCATAATCGAGTGGGGTTCCTTTTTTGCAACCAGGTCATGAGACATGGGCAAACAGAAGTAGATGACTGCTTGTAAGCAATAAACAAGTTTCTCCCACTTTATTTCTCCCTTTGTCTGATTTTGGTATCAAAAGTAGTTTGCCTTGGGCTGGGAAAATATTTTCCCCTTGGAGTTACACATGATTAACAATATAGAACAAGGATGGCTGGAGAGAATATAAATTGGTGTAAGCTTTCAAGAAGGCAATTTTGTAATAATTATAAAAAACTTGAAAAATGTTAAAACTGTTTGGCTTAGTGGTTCCACTTCTAGGAATTTATTTAGCTTATTTTTTATGAAGAAAAATATGTAACAACCTAAAAATTTGATATTCAATAATGTGTAAGTATATTGTAACACAGGGCTCTACTGCCACACCAGTCTCCTAATACTTGTTCTGTGCCTGTGAGGTTGGAAAGTAAAAACTACATTTCCCAGACATCCTCACTGTAAGAGTTGCCTATGGGTTCAGGATCCACCAGTCAGAGACACAGGATCCATGGACTCCAGATGCCTGAACCTGGCATTGGCAGCAGTTGTTTTTTCAGTGCTATGAACCCTGTCAATTTGCATTGTTGCGCTGGCTGCAGCCTCTCCCTTGTTTAACTTACTAGTGGAAGGGCTGCCCTTGGAGCCCAGTTTCACTCACCAGATTCTGACAAGTAGAGCTTGTCCCCAGAAGCTTACTTAGGATCTGCAGTTCTAGAGTTTAAGCCATCCTATATTCAAAAATAAATTCCCTTCTGCTTAAACTACATAGAATGGTCAGCAATATTGGCATCTATACGATGGGATATGACACATCAGTTTTAAAATCACACTTCAAAAATTAATATTTAATGAATTATTACATAACTTCTTTTTTAGCTCAATTAATTTTTCACTTATTTATAACTTACCAATTATACCAAAAACTTTTCTTTAAGGGCCTCTGTCTTTTAGAATAAACATATTCGAGTAGTTCAGCTGTGGCTGTAAGGAAAATTAAAAACTGATTTTTTTTAACTCATTAAAATGTTTGAAATTTATTTTTTAACTAAAAAGATTTCCTCTGCTTCTCTACTTAGTCACAATTCCCTTGCTGTACTACCCAATTTTCCTCAAAACATTTGCTCTCAGGTGTAATCCACTATCAAGTAGAGTGAGTAACCTGTCCTTTAATACGCAAAAATGTTTGTCTCAAAACCACAGAAATGGGAGAAGTCCTGTATTCTTCCTTGTTTCAATGTTTAGCTAATTCTTGGGAAAGAGAGAGGGTGGGAGTTTGGCTTCAGTTTTTTTCTGAACAGTTCATCTGGTGTCTTCTGTTTACTGTCATCATTCTTTACAAGAGAGGAAGGGAACAGTACAGAACTTTCTTTCCCCTCTGATAGAAATTATACCACTTCCCTTAGCCAAGTTAAACTGATTAAGCCATTATACTGTGGTGGCTTTATAATGCCCTGTGGCCTGCAAAAGCAAACTCAAACCTAAACCTATAAATGCCCCAAGATTACCAAATCAAAACCTAAGGACACTCAATCACAAATAGCCCAAAAGCCTGTAAGCTATAGCCAATCAATAATTCCTTGCTTTGCTTCAGCTTTTTCTCTTTAGAATTCTCTGCAAGCTCCTGTGGGTAGTGTAAGGCTGGAGGCACTGGAGGGAGAAGGGCGAGGACAATGCAGGCAGAGCAGAGACAGCACCAAGTAGCTCTGTGCCTTATGGGGAAGGTACGAACAGCTCTTCCATGTTTCCTTCTACATTCCCTGTGGCCTGAACCCACCCCCTGGCTGCAACTGCCACATGATGATTGCTTTGAACTCCCTACCCATTCAGCTACTGACTACTTGTGGCATGGGTGAGCTATGGAATTAATCTGCATAAGACTTTGAACATAGCTGGATCCTCCAGCTTGAGGATTATCATGATTTTATTCCTGTTGTTATTGTATTTTATTAGTCTGGTTACAATTGTCCAGTTTTCTTGCACAGGGGCCATTGCAGAACATGGGGAAAGAGTAGATTGTGAGGCAAGGTTTCTGGAGGGGTGGACTGTGGGTAAAATTACAATATTTCCAGAATCTCTTGCCTGGCCTTGGTCCATCTCCATATCACTAGGTAACTACAAGGTTGAGCCAGAGCATAATCGAGTGGGGTTCCTTTTTTGCAACCAGGTCATGAGACATGGGCAAACAGAAGTAGATGACTGCTTGTAAGCAATAAACAAGTTTCTCCCACTTTATTTCTCCCTTTGTCTGATTTTGGTATCAAAAGTAGTTTGCCTTGGGCTGGGAAAATATTTTCCCCTTGGAGTTACACATGATTAACAATATAGAACAAGGATGGCTGGAGAGAATATAAATTGGTGTAAGCTTTCAAGAAGGCAATTTTGTAATAATTACAAAAAACTTGAAAAATGTTAAAACTGTTTGGCTTAGTGGTTCCACTTCTAGGAATTTATTTAGCTTATTTTTCATGAAGAAAAATATGTAACAACCTAAAAATTTGATATTCAATAATGTGTAAGTATATTGTAACACAGGGCTCTACTGCCACACCAGTCTCCTAATACTTGTTCTGTGCCTGTGAGGTTGGAAAGTAAAAACTACATTTCCCAGACATCCTCACTGTAAGAGTTGCCTATGGGTTCAGGATCCACCAGTCAGAGACACAGGATCCATGGACTCCAGATGCCTGAACCTGGCATTGGCAGCAGTTGTTTTTTCAGTGCTATGAACCCTGTCAATTTGCATTGTTGTGCTGGCTGCAGCCTCTCCCTTGTTTAACTTACTAGTGGAAGGGCTGCCCTTGGAGCCCAGTTTCACTCACCAGATTCTGACAAGTAGAGCTTGTCCCCAGAAGCTTACTTAGGATCTGCAGTTCTAGAGTTTAAGCCATCCTTTATTCAAAAATAAATTCCCTTCTGCTTAAACTACATAGAATGGTCAGCAATATTGGCATCTATACGATGGGATATGACACATCAGTTTTAAAATCACACTTCAAAAATTAATATTTAATGAATTATTACATAACTTCTTTTTTAGCTCAATTAATTTTTCACTTATTTATAACTTACCAATTATACCAAAAACTTTTCTTTAAGGGCCTCTGTCTTTTAGAATAAACATATTCGAGTAGTTCAGCTGTGGCTGTAAGGAAAATTAAAAACTGATTTTTTTTAACTCATTAAAATGTTTGAAATTTATTTTTTAACTAAAAAGATTTCCTCTGCTTCTCTACTTAGTCACAATTCCCTTGCTGTACTACCCAATTTTCCTCAAAACATTTGCTCTCAGGTGTAATCCACTATCAAGTAGAGTGAGTAACCTGTCCTTTAATACGCAAAAATGTTTGTCTCAAAAGCACAGAAATGGGAGAAGTCCTGTATTCTTCCTTGTTTCAATGTTTAGCTAATTCTTGGGAAAGAGAGAGGGTGGGAGTTTGGCTTCAGTTTTTTTCTGAACAGTTCATCTGGTGTCTTCTGTTTACTGTCATCATTCTTTACAAGAGAGGAAGGGAACAGTACAGAACTTTCTTTCCCCTCTGATAGAAATTATACCACTTCCCTTAGCCAAGTTAAACTGATTAAGCCATTATACTGTGGTGGCTTTATAATGCCCTGTGGCCTGCAAAAGCAAACTCAAACCTAAACCTATAAATGCCCCAAGATTACCAAATCAAAACCTAAGGACACTCAATCACAAATAGCCCAAAAGCCTGTAAGCTATAGCCAGTCAATAATTCCTTGCTTTGCTTCAGCTTTTTCTCTTTAGAATTCTCTGCAAGCTCCTGTGGGTAGTGTAAGGCTGGAGGCACTGGAGGGAGAAGGGCGAGGACAATGCAGGCAGAGCAGAGACAGCACCAAGTAGCTCTGTGCCTTATGGGGAAGGTACGAACAGCTCTTCCTGGATTCCAGTCCCATGACATGCCAACAAACAAAGGATGCAGACCCCCTCCATCCTGAAGGAGGAGACCTCTGGCTGTCTATCACCCGACCCTGAACCAATAAAAATTCCCCACCTACCCCTAGCGTGGCCCACTTCCCCCTCCCTTCTCTGTTCTCTTAAAAACTCCCCGCCTCCCCTCCTGAGCGTGACTTCCTCAGCCTGTGATAGCCAGACTGGGGAACATCACCCAGGAATTGAGCTCAAATAAACTGCCTGGCCCTTTGTTGCCTCTCCTCGCCTGCTTATTTCGGCTAGAATTTATCTTACAGGCGGAGCACTTCTAATTACTTACAGTTTGCCACTGCCCAATGTGAACTGATTTTTGCTCAAATAAAATCTTAAAATGTTTAATATGCCTCAGTTTATCTCTTTAAAAGCAGACAGAAGAAACACAATTTTGACTTTAAATGATGTTTTCCTCTCTCCATACCACAAGGCTATTCAGTCATCACATTTCCATTTGAAAACACTTTTGTAAACCTGAGAACACCCCAGCATGTTCTGCATGTGTTTGTGGACAACTTTAGGATAAATACACAATCTGGGTCAAAGGTAAGGTCAGTCATTCAGAAGAAGGCCTACAAGACAGTACTGAAAATGCCCTTTTTCTCTTCAAGATTTTAGAAAAGTATTTAGCTCTAAAACTGATAGAGTTGAGTGCCAACTGTATGAGTCATCTACGCCACTTAATTTAGTCTTCCCAGATGCCATATCTACTTCAGAGCCCTGAACTGTATAGTCTGGGAGGCAGTTTGCTGTACAGGCTAACATGAGATTTAAGATCCACTAGTTCTGGGTTCAAGTTTGAGTTCTTCCACATAATTTTGTTTGGCCAAATAAGTTAATCTAAGTTTCAGTTTATTCATCATTAAAAATGGGTAATATAATAATACCTTCCTATAAGGTTATTTTAAAGATTCAACAAGATAATGCATTCAATTAAATTTTAACATTTAAGAGTATAAGGCCTAGATGTCTAAAGGTATAAGCCTGTAAATGGTGAAGAAATTGACCCACAACTGAACTTATCTTCCTTAAAATCTAGATGCTTCTTCTATATTCCTTATCTCTGTTAATGACATCTTTTAGATGTTTGTCAAGAACAGATGTTATTTACTTCTCTGCGCTACATTTAGTTCTTTTAAAATAAGAAATGAGAAGAAAATTTCAGAGCAGCAATAATGATAGGACATACTACACAGGGATTTAATAAGTAAATACATGGACAGTAAAAAATAAAATGATTGATAACAATGCAATAGTTTCTGCCTTATTTCTAGACAATAAAAGCAATCAGAACTCTTCTTTTGAAGCAGTCATCTATCTAGCCATGCCCTTAGAGCCTGACCACTTATTGTGGTCAAACCTTTATGTACTACTCTTCTTCCCTTTAAAAAAAAATGAGGCCCTGTTAAAACTACTACCAATAACAACAAGAGCAGCAAAAACAATAATAATAACTTCCAATTTGTGAACACTTACTGCTATGTGCCAGGTACCTACCATACATACTTCACTTGCTAACCCAGCATAGTGACTCTCTGAGGTAGGTATTCTGATTCCCGCATACGCTCACAGATTACGACACAAAGTAGAAAGAGGTTCATTTGACCAATAGCTCCCAACTGGCAGAAACTGGGTGTGGGTAAAATTGCAATATTTCCAGAATCTCTCACCTGGCTTTAGTGCATCTGCATATCAATAGGTATCTCCAAGGGGTGGAGTCTACATATCAATAGGTAATAAAAAGGGTATGCAAGGGCTTATCTGGATCAGAGAAGTTGGGTGGAGTTCTCTTCTCTTCTGCTGCAGCCAGTCAGGAGAGAGACGGGATGACTGCTTGTAAGAAATAAAAGGGTTTCTTAACTTTATTTCTCCCTTTGACTGATTTCGGTTTTAGAGGTATTTTGCCCCGGGATTTTCCCCCTGGGGGTTACACTGGGTTAGAGCAGAGAGCCTGGATCCAAAACTCTTAAAAGAGAGAAAAATTTGTATGGCGAGGCTTCCCACAAACCAAATTACTGGATGTATACA